CATCATCCCTGTACACCAAAAGGTTGCAAGTTCAATTCCCAGTCAGGGGGCGTACAGGAGGCAACCAATCAATGTTTCTTTCTCTCTCTCTCTCTCTCCCTTCCTCAATCTAAACATATCCTCAGGTGAGGATCTTAAAAAAAAAGAGACTATAGACATATTCATACCCACATATCATATTATTCTGATGAGCTGAGTTGTTTTCTTAGACCTAAATCCCACCACTTAATGAAGCCTTCTACTTTCATTCACCACCATCTCTTTTTCTTTTTGTAAAATTCTTTCCACCTAGGGTCTGCAGCAGTTTGTAGCTGAGCACTTCACTGTTGTCTCAATTCATTAAAAAAAAGAAGAAATTCCAGTTTCTATTTGTGCCTGTTCCTATGCAAGGCAGTACAAATACAAATACGAATTAGACCAAGTCATCACATTCCAGAGGCTCACAGTCCACTAGGCATCTAAATCATCTGCTGTTGTTAAATGCATCTTGTGAGTAGCTGTAGGGGGCAGTGGGAGGTTAAACAATGGGTACAATTAGTCTCCTGCTTACAGTAGGACAGAACAGCACTGGCACAGTGTCTGTGTATGAGTCTCTGGCACTAAATAATTGGAGAGGTACTCAGATTTACACTCCTCTCAGCAATGTGGGAATGTAATTACAAAGGCAGAGTACGTTTCCCATTTGAAAGAAGCACTTCTTACTCTTTGCTGCAGCAAGAGCATTTGGCCCACATTGAAGACACTCAGGAAATGTCTGATGAATGGTGGAGGAGTGAATACATGCATGAATGAAGACAGCTTACTGTAAGCAAGGACAGACTAAAATTTTAAGTATTTAAAATCTCCCCAAATCTAAAAAAGGCAGATCCAGGAATGTAAAGTACAACATAGGGAATATAGTAAATAATATTGTAATAACTATGTATGGTGTGCTGGCATGTTTATAATCCCATAATTGATGACTGGTAAATTATTGTGCTGACTTGTTTATAGCTCCATAATTGATGATTGGGAAAGTCACTGTGTGCCCTCTAGCTGAACTTGTTTTGTAGACTCCCTGAACCAAGAAATCGTTGGAAGCCAGCTATGTTTTCTGACAGAGTCCACGGAGCCTGGAGATCTTAAGTCAGAGACTCAACCTCCCCCACAATCTCAAGGAATTGGGCTTGCATTGTGTTTGTGCAGCTCGAGGCTAAGTGTGACCCAATGTACCTTGAAATGCCTGGGTGTTCCTGTTATCCGAAAGGCAAACTAATTCTATACAGCATTGTTGTAGCCCTGGGCATTATATCAAGAAGATCCTATTTTCTTAAATCACTAAACTTTTGCTATAAGGTATAAAAGGCATGTAATAAAGCATATCAAGGCTGATTCCAAAGACTCTGTCACAGGGGTGTTCGGAATCAGACGCTGGCCGGCTAATAAACAGCTCTTATTTGGACTTCAATTCTCTAGTGGTCTTTCTTTGACTCTGTCACACCACAACAATGGTGCCAGGTGGGTACTGGAAATATTTTGAAAATATTTCAAAGGGGAATACTTTGAAAAGCAAATGATTGTCTAACCACTATGCTGTACACCTGAAACTAACTCAAAATAATACTGAATGTAAACTGTAATTTAAAAATAATAAAGAAGGCAACTCCTCCTTAAGATCCCTTTGTTTGGATGATGGGGTGGAGAAGCATTTAGGAGCAGTTGATGGGGAACAAAAGGCCCTCTATTACAAAGGAAAAGAAAATCCAAGGAGACAGCTAGGAAGCGGGGAGGAGGAGCTCAGGACAAAAGCAGAGCATGGTTTGGAGACCTATGGAGAGATATGGCAGCTGCTAAAGGGAATGGGTCTGAGAAATATGTTTTAGGATTTTTAGGAAGTCTGTTCTGTCATTTGTCATGTGACTCCCTCCTCCATCTCCCCAAGAAAACATGAGTAAAACTAGTGTACCCTTCAGTGGCTTTGGAATGTGTAAGGCATCAAGCCCTGCTCAGCGCGAGCACAGGGTGAGAGCGGGGGCAGTGAGGGAGGCCCAGGGTCGTTCGTGTTCACACGCAGCTTGTGTGTTCCAGGATCACGGAACTGAACTCTGGCTGAGTCAGAGCCGTTATTTGGTTGCCCAAGGGGAAGAGGGAGGGGACTACCAATGAATTACGTGGGACTGCAGCGGTGGGGAGGGGCGAGGACAGTCTGGCTCCGGAACGGGTGGGTTGTGGGGCAGCAGTGATTCTCGGCCCGTTCGCTAGGTACAGTGCCTGGCACCTAACAGGAGCTTGGAATGTATTTGCTGAGTGATTACATAGTGCAGGATAAAGGAGGGCACGGAGGACAGCAATCAGCGAGACCGGAATGACTACCACCACTGCAGGGATGAAGAAGCCGGCGTGCAAAGTGACCTTCCGGGTTTCCTGGCGGTCTGGGCGAAGCCAAAACCCCAGTCCGCGCTCCGGCTGCTACCGCGTCCTTCCCAACACCAATTCACACCTGGCACCGCGACCCCGCCCCACCCACCCCACACTTCCGGATTCCGCTCCGCCCACCGCGGGTACTTCCGGTCTCCAGCGCTGGAAGCCGCTGTTGGAGACTGTGGGTGAGTCTGGGCCGCGAGGACGTGCGGAAACAGTCCTTGGGCCGGGCCACAGCGGGTCCGGGCGGCAGCGGGCTCTTTTTTCGCGGGTTACCACTGAACATTACGCAGCAGCCGATTCCCTCGTAAAGTCCTTCAGCCCCGGGCAAGGATGGCGTCACTTCCGGGGCCTGTGCAAGCCGGCGAAGGCCAGAAGTGGCTCCAGCCCCATCTGGCGGTGAGGAGGAGTCACGGGATCTTTTCGGAATCCAGGTTTCGCGCTGTAGAACCTGGGAGTTTGAGAAGGTGTCCTGATTAGAAATGTTGGGTTTAGCAATTAAAAATACAGGACCTCCGGTTAAATTTGCATCTCAGATAAACAACAAATAATATTTCAGTATAGGAGTGTCCCAAACATTCTATGGGACATCCATAGATCCATATATTCAAACAATTCCTAATCACTATATTGAATACCTGAAATAATGTTGAGTGTTTGCTAAGAAAAAATTTCCTCATTTACGTGAACTTCAAATTTAACTGGACCTCCTGTATTTTCCCTGGCAACATTCACTTTGAGTGCCCTCCTGCCCCTGGCTCTGCTGTCCAGTAGCAAAGCTGGATCTTCTAGGCCTGTGTCCATCTGAGTAATAGTACAAAGTTCACCTAGGCTGTCAAAATCAGCTATTGCTAGATGCAAAGATACTTTTAACTCTAAGCCTAATGGGGGTCAGCCTCAGGAACACCCTGCAAAAGCTGGGCCCATTTTCAGAGTCCTCATGGTGGTACTCTGTGTTCCCTTTCACAACTGGGCTCGAACAGTGTCAGTGCCTATGAGAAAGCTGAAAATCAGTAGGCTAAGTGGCTGAGGGCTAGAAGTTGCCGGGTTTTTTGAGTGTGGGATAAAAGGGTGTTTGGAGTCCAGGTTTTCAGTGTTGACAGTGGACAGCTTCAGAGAGCCCAGGTGTTTCAAGAGGAAAGCCTTAGTCTTAATCTTATCCCACTTCTCATTTTGCAGATGAGGCCCAGTGAGAGAAATGGAGCCTTCCTAGTCACTCAGAAAACCAGTGATAGAGCTGGAGCCTGATTCCCAGCCTCCTTCCCCTGCTCTGCCCCACATTTGCTGCTGCAGTCAACTGGCAGCATTTATGGTGGGCATTTATTAAAGTAGATGCCTTTTAGAGATAAGCTCTTTGGGGAATTTTTTGTCCCTAAACTCTACAGCCTCCTGACCTTCACCTCAAGGCTTCTTTAGCCTTTACCCTGCCCCCATGGAGAAAATGATTATTTGGGCTCAGCTATGGGAGCCTGGCCTTTGCCTGCTCTAGCCACTTGGCTCTCACGCCTATGGGTGGTGTGACCCAAGACTTGTTTTGTTATGTGGGAGCCAAAAGACATGCTATTGGCAGGGGTGGGTCTGGCCAGCCATGTAGGTGGAAGGGCGTCTTTTTCTGTCCTGCAGATTGGATCCCCTGGTACATCTGGTACCCCTTGTGTGGTATCTAGGGACCTCCCTGAGGTTCTACTATGAGCCAGACTCTGCTGCCACTTCTGATTTGAAATTGAACCTCTTGTTGGCGTGGCCCTGAGTGCTGGGAGTTCTCAAGTTGTATGCCTTGAGGATGTGTTCTGGGCCTGTCAGTGCCCTGTCAAGCCCATAGCCTCCCCACACAGACCGATAAGCTAATGAAATAGAGCAGGCTCGCCCTGGCCAGTTTGGCTCAGTGGTTAGAGCGTCAGCCTGCGGTCCGGAGAGACCCGGGTTCGGTTCCCGCTAAGGGCACGTACTTCAGTTGCAGTTTGTCCCCGGCCCTGGTTGGTCGTGCGGGTGGCAGCCACTCGATATGTCCCTTCACATCAATGTTTCTCTCTCTCTCTCCCTTCCTCTCTCTCCCTCCCACTCTATTTGTACAAAAAATGGAAAAATGTCCTCGGTTGAGGATAAAAAAAAAAAGATAGAAATAGAGCAGGCTGGAGGTCAGCAGGCTTGGGTCAGTTGGAGGGACAGCCAGCAGCCTCCTGGCAACAGAAGTGGTGAAGAGGCAAGGAAGTAGTGCCAGAAAGGGGTGTTGCCCTTGGGTGAAGGGGTGGAGAAGGGGCGGGGCAGGAAACCACTGATAGGAATTGCTCACTCTGTGAATGATTAACTCTCAAAGTGGTTGACCTAGGAGGAGGGCCCAGCTAACAGGACCTTTGGACTGCAGGCAGAGCATCCAGGGGGCCAGTGTGTGGCCTGCAGAAGAGGAGGACATGGCTGGGTGGCAGGCCTGGGCTCCAAGGACTGGAGTGAGATCCGGCAGCTGTGGGCCTCAGGAAGTCTCCCAGGACTGGCAGATGGTCCATTCTTGCAGCAGCAGCTGTGGGAACCACTATTCCTGAGCCCTCGGGGGCTCCCTTCTCTAGCCTTGCAACTGCCTCACAAGTGCTTTCTTCCCCCTAGGTGGCCATGGGTGCCAGGTGGAGCTGAAAGCAGTAGGGCATGGCTGTAGCCCTGCAGGTCCTGTCCCGCTTGGCCCGAGCCCCATCACGCCCACTCCTCTGGGGGGGCCCAGGGGCACGGCTGGCCAGTGGCATGGCCTTGGCAGAGCAGGCTCGGAAGCTGTTTGAGAGCACTGTTGGTGCCGTGCTGCCTGGCCCCATGATGCACCGGGCACTGTCCTTGGACCCTGGCAGTGGGCAGCTGAAGGTGCGAGATCGGAGCTTTCAACTGCGACAAAACCTCTATCTGGTGGGCTTCGGCAAGGCCGTGCTGGGCATGGCAGCTGCAGCTGAGGAGCTACTGGGCCAGCACCTGGTGCAGGGAGTGATCAGCGTTCCCAAGGGGATCCGTGCTGCCATAGAGTGCAGTGGCAAGCAGTAAGGAGCTTTGGGGGGCTGCTCCCCACTGGCCATCTGGAGGGAAACCTAAGCCCAGACTCAGGCTAGATTGGGGCCTCCCTTCCTCACCAGCTTCCCTTTTCTACTGGGTCTGGCTTGGTTCCAGGATGGGTGTCAGCAGGCATTCTTGTTCATGCCCCTCTCACCTGTACAGCTGGGAAATTAGATGGGAGGAGAGGAGCCCACCTCATCTCTTACTCTCTGTTCTCTCTCCCCTCAGGGAGATGCTACTGAAGCCACACAGCCGTATCCAGGTGTTTGAGGGTGCGGAGGACAACCTGCCGGACCGTGACTCACTGCGGGCTGCATTAGCTATCCGGCAGGTGGCTGAAGGTCTGACAGCTGATGACCTGCTGCTCGTGCTCATCTCAGGTGTGGGTTCCAGACTGGCTCAGGATAGTTGGGTGGGGGAATATTAGGTCGGCAAGAAACCATTGGTCTGAGCCCCCAGGGTCACAGAGCAAGTGAGGTACTGAGGAGCCTGGATGGCTGACTCCTAGATGGCCCTGGGCCAGTTGTCTGGCCTCCCCTGTGAGGTCCTCCCCTCGACTGACCTCTTGGCAGACCAGGAGAGGGCACACAGGGAGCACCTAACTCAGAGTCTTGCAAGGAAAATGTCACTGCTGTTGCTGCTGTCTGTACTGATATCACCTGAGACTAGAACCCAGGTTTCCAGCCTCCCTGGAGCCCTCTCCTTGGTCCTCTGCCTCCCTCCATCTGCCCCCGAGTCCAAGATCTTAAGGAATAATTCTTCCAGTGCCTGCTGAGACCTGGGTTATTCTAAGGCAGGGCACAACCTCAGGTGCTCAGCATGTCCATATAGGAACACTCTAATCCCACCTTCCTGGCCCCCTACCCCTTCCTAATGTGTTCACTGCCCACCTGCATTCCTGGGTGAGGAGTTTCTTTGCTGTCCCTTATGCCTGAAGTCCTCACTCTGTCTGCAGGTGGGGGCTCTGCCCTGCTGCCTGCCCCCATTCCACCTGTCACACTGGAGGAGAAGCAGACACTCACCAAGCTGCTGGCAGCCCGTGGAGCCACCATCCAGGAGCTGAACACCATCCGGAAGGCCCTGTCCCAGCTCAAGGGTGGGGGGCTGGCTCAGGCTGCCTACCCTGCCCAGGTGTGTGAATCACTTCTTACCCAGGCAGCCCTGGGTTGGTGGAGCCAGGCCCACATGTGTCCAGTTGATGAAAGCCTAAAATAGCATACAGATTGGCAGGGACCTGGTATGCAGTTCACAGGGCCATCAGAGGGGGTGAGGGTGCGTCCACATGGCCAGGTGTTCTGCACACCCACTGAGAGGGGTTAGAAATGGGCGAGGAAATGCACCAGGTGGTGTAAGGTGTGTGGATATACAGGAAGGGGTATGGTGGGAAGAGGCATTTTGTCCTCAGCTCTGGGGTGAGGGCCAGGCAGGACTAAGCCTTGCATCTTCAACCTCTTCCCAGGTGGTAAGCCTGATTCTGTCAGATGTGGTGGGAGACCCTGTGGAGGTGATTGCCAGTGGCCCCACCGTGGCCAGCGTCCACAATGTGCAAGATTGCCTGCACATCCTTAACCGCTATGGCCTCCGTGCTGCCCTGCCACGTTCTGTGAAAACTGTGCTGGCTCGGGCTGACTCTGACCCTCATGGGCCACACACCTGTGGTCATGTCCTCAATGTGATCATTGGCTCCAATGCGCTCGCACTGGCCGAGGCCCGGCGGCAGGCTGAGGCGCTGGGATACCAGGCAGTGGTGCTGAGTGCAGCCATGCAGGGTGACGTGAAAAGTGTGGCCAAGTTCTACGGGCTGCTGGCCCAAGTGGCTGGAGCCCACCTCATTCCATTCGGCACTGGAACCTCTGTGGAGGATGCACTTCATGAACAGGCGGCCGCACTCCAGCTACCAGACCTGCAGCTGAAGGAGGCTCTGGAGGCCGTGGCGGGGGCTAAGGGCCCCATCTGCCTGCTGGCTGGTGGCGAGCCCACAGTGCAGTTGCAGGGCTCGGGCAAGGGTGGTCGGAATCAGGAATTGGCACTGCGTGTTGGAGCAGAGCTGGGACAGTGGCCACTGGGGCCTATTGATGTGCTGTTCTTGAGTGGTGGCACTGATGGGAAGGATGGACCCACAGAGGCAGCCGGGGCCTGGGTTACGCCTGAGCTTGCCAAGCAGGCCACTGCTGAGGGCCTGGATGTGGCCACCTTCCTAGCCCACAATGACTCACATACCTTCTTCCACCGTTTCCAGGGTGGGGCCCACCTGCTGTACACAGGGCTGACAGGCACCAATGTCATGGATGTCCACTTCCTGTTCCTGCAGCCGCGGTGATGGCATAGGTCATGTTTTGGGAGTCCAGAGGAAGCCTATAGCACAGGGTCCCAGAGCAGACCAGGGTTGGTCCCTAGGGCCTCATCAGGCCTTAGGGCCCCCTTTTCTTGGCCCTGGCTGCATGGTTGGCCCTTGTACCTCCCACCCAGAGCCTCTGCTTCATGTCCATTCCCCCAACCAGAGTGGCATGGTGTTTCTCGTCCACTCCTATGTTCAGCCTTGGCAGCAGGTACCCCTGAGGACCAGGACAATTCTGTTGGCCAGTTCGCTGTCCCGGTATTCCCATTGCTGAGCTCCTGAGCCTGTTCTATTCTGTTGGTGAAACAAGAAGGACCGAAAATAAAAAGGACCACTCTATGGAGTCTCAGTGCATCTTCCCTCAGAGCAAGGACTTTTAGGGAGCTTCTGGGAGGGCGTGGGTGGGGTTGCAGCCACAGCACCCAGACCTGATAGGAAGAGTTCCCCACACCCTCTGCACAACACACTTCAGCCTGGGAGGGTTAAGCCTGGCTCCCCACACACTCAATCAGGGTGAGCAGAGACCCCAGGGATGACAGGCCTAAGGACTGTAGTCCATGGAGTCTGGGAGGGAATGGCTACCCATCCACCATTGACTTCCCAGTGGCATCCCTGCCCTGGTCTCCGGTCTCTGCCATGTGCCTCAAGGGTGCCTGCTTACTACCTCCCACCAGGGTCATCCCTCCTGCTTTGGACAGCCCTTAGCCACAGACCAAACCTTTGATTGAGCTGCCCTCTATCTAGGGGCCACCCCAACCCCATACGACACTGGATCTTGTTTCCTTGTGGCAGCCCTTTTCCCAAGCTGAATACCCCCAGTTCCTTCAGCCACTCCTCTGGGGACAGTCCTGTTCCTGGTACCAGCCTTGCTATGGGGGTCTACACTGCTGGGATGGTGGGCCAGAGCAGCGATGGGGTCCAGCAGTCCCCCACCCTTCCCTCTACTACAACAGCAAGGAAAGGGCCTGTGGGGAAGAAAGCAACAGGAGGGCTCCCGTGGCCAGGCCAGCTGCCTGTTCTGAGAAAAGGATGGGCCTCTGTCCCGGCCCTCCTTGGACCTCCCTTGCTCAGGATCCAAGCCCTCCGCTGGCCGTCCCCGCCGTGCGCCACGGCTCCAATCCCTATATGAGTGAGCAGTAGAATCACATAGGAATAAAAAGCCATAGAGAACAGCGAGGCCTGGGGCTGCTTCTGCTGGCCCCTCTGCCACCCCAGCCATCCCCTTCCTTCTGAAGGTGTGAAGGGCTCTGAGCCAGAGCTGGCATGCCCTCCCCCTGAAACAGCCTTCCTTCCCCACTTGAGCTCTGTACAGCCCAGCTTGCAGAGGGTTCATGACCTGAGGACGGCAGGTGGGGCAGGCTGGGGGTTGAGAGGGAGGTGAGCAACGTGAGCTGAGCTCTGGGGCCAAGGAGGTTTGGGAGAAGGAGGGGGGTCGGTTTGCACCACTCTGGTGCAGAGGCACCAGTTCCTTCTGTCCTGCATGGGGTTTCTGCTGACCGGGGCATGAGGGTCATAGTCTTAGAGGATAGTGTCCTCACATAACAGTGCCTGTGTACTGGTGCTCCTGTGGCAAACTAATTATGTCCTGTCCCTGCTTCAGTCCTTGCTCTCAGGACCATGAGTATTAGCACCGGGTTCCAGGCAAGAGCCAGCATAGGAGGGCTGGGGCTGTGGCGGAGGACCTGTCTGCCATGTCCCCAATATGTGCATGTGTGTGCAGGTTGGTGTTAGCATACCGAGAGGGGGGATGCACGTTTGTGTACACAGATAGATACTCAGCACAAGAGATATGCTGCTGCTTGTGCACATGGCTCAGTTGACACACCTGCTGAGGGGTTGGGCGTGGGTGGGGCCTTGCCAGAGACTCCCCACGTGTCGCCTTGGCCCCTGCCCTGTGTCTGTTTGTGGGGACTGGGAGGCCAGAGTCTAGATTGAGCCTAACCCATTAGATTTGCTCATTTGGTACCCCTGAGATGAGAAAGAACATATTTGGCCTCAATCTAGATGAAAATATGAGATAAACCCTACATGGTGAGTGTTCCATAGGACTTATTATTTGCTCCATAAATGTCAAGTATGGTTCATAATAGTTGCTCCCATCTCATGGCTCTTGGCTTCTGTCTCTCCTGGCTCCTATTCCTGCTGCCCTTGCACCCACCTCATCTCCATCCCCTGACTCTTTTCCTGGCCCAGTTGGAGCTTTTGCAGAGTGCCTGGCGCCCTTCCATTCTCTGAAGTTGGCATGAACTGAGAGCAGCTGGACAGTGAGCCTGGATAGCCCTTAGGTGTCAGCTAATCCAAATTCCTTTGTTTTATAGTTGGGAAAACAGAGGGGGAAGGTGGCTTATCTGGGGCTACACAGCAAGTCTGTAACAGAACCAGAATTAGAACCTCGTTGGGACCTACTTGACCATCCTCTGCCCACCCTCTGGGGCTCAGAGACCCTAAGGTCCAGTGAGGGCTGGTGTCTCTAGGGATCCATAAATCAGATTTGTCAGACCCTTCTTGGCTCAGATTTCACAGCTCCACTGTGTGTGTGATTTGGTAGGAGACCACATGAAGTTGGGTGGTGGGCTTTTATCCAAAGGTGCATGTCTGTGTCTTGTCTGTATGTGTGCATGGGGACATGTGTGGGCATGTGTGTGTCCAGTTGAACCCACAACCAGTCACTGAGCTGGCCTCTGAGCTGTGCTCTGCTCCATCCGGGGCAGAGACACATAGTTTGGTGTAGTTACGAACATTGGGGATAAGGTGAAGCAAGGTGGGCCAGGAGGCTACGAAGGTTGTCACAAGCCGGTTGGCAAAAGGCTTTGTGTGTCTGGCCACGGGGATCAGACTTCACATTGACAGTGTGACAAGCCTTGTGAGGATTTTGGGGGAGGCATGATGCCAGGAGGCTGTTTTAGGACTTTGATGCGGAAGCCTTCTTTACTACAGGGGTAGGGGATAGGGTGTGCAAGGAGGTAGAGGAGGTGTTGCAGGTGGGAAAGAGGTATGTCACCAGGCTCAGGAACCCCTTCCTACCTTCCCTCTGCCGGCCCCTCTGCAGCTTCACCCCAGCAGCCTTCAACCGGCCTAGGCAAACCTTTAAAGCTCACTTTGGAAGCAAGCTGGAAGCCCTGGCTCAACCCCAGGAGTAACCTCGCCCCTCTTGTCACTAGGAATATGCCATTCGGGTGTGGAGGGTTTAGGGGGCAGAGCGGCTGGGCAACTGGTGGGCACTTTGGTGAGCATAGGTAACCTGTTCTCATCTAGGCACTCACCAGGGTAGCAGTTAAACCCCTAGGTCTAGATCCTGGTCTCAGTTTTCTCCTCTGACTAATGGGGACAACATCCTTGTCCGGCTCACCTCTCTGGAGCGGTGTCAGCAGCAGATGGATCTGGGTAAGAAACCTGTGCCAGTGGGGGACTCAGGGAGGGATGAAAAGAGAGGTGCTGACCTCTTCCAAGGAGAAACTCAGGGAGCTCTCAGCTTAGGGAAGCTGCCTGTGGCCCAGTGAGGCCAGGCTTAGAGCCCGTGAGGCCTGGTGCCATTGACTAAGGCCAGGCGAGGGACTACTGCCCTCCGGTCCTGGACTGGCACTAGCAGGGGGTGGTATTTGATCTTTAGTGGCTGCTGAGTGCGCAGTGCCCTGGGAGGTCACAGAGTCAATGGGAGAGGGTCAGCTGAAACTAGAGTAAGTTGACCCAGCCTGGGAGAGAGCCCCCTCATGTCACAAAAATAGGCAGGGCAGCATGATCCCTCTGGATCTGGATCCAGTGGGACATGAGGCCCAGACCCAGGTGGGGAGACCTGGCTTGACCCCAGGCCAGGAATTCTTGGGGCGGGGAGTGAGAGTACTCGGGGTGTGCTAAGGGAAAACAAGCGTTGTGTAGGGTGGGGGATGCCGACACACCTTGGGTGGTGAGGAAGCCAGTGGCTTAGGCAGGCTGCCAGGTGAATGATAGGGACACAGAGCTGTGGCGTGCTCTGCTCAGGCAGGAGGGATGGCCTTTCTCCCCGAGACGGGTGTCTGCGGGTGCACGCCTCCCTGGGTAACCACTGGGGCCATCCTGAGGCTTTGCTCTCCCACTTTCCCTGGCTCAGGTTGCCCTTGGGCCTCCAGAGGCTGGATGGGGTAGGCTAGGGCCGGACCACCTCAGCCCCTGAGACTAGATGCCACAGCTCCGATTCCACCTCCATCTGGGAGGGGTGCTGCCTGCTCAGGTGAGGAAGCTCTGGCCAAGCTCCGGTGAGGGAGAGTTAAGCCCCAAAAGCAAGTACCACATTCGTCCAGTCCTAAGGAGACAAATGCCCTTAGCAGCTCTACCTCCTGGGATTACTACCCACTGTGATCTTGTCCACTGCCGGCCTCTGAGGTCTCAGGGAGCTGGAGGACCTAGCTCTGCCCTGGACAGATAGCCAGGGGCTGGCCCCCCAAGATGCACCCCATTGGGAAGTTTTTCCCTGGTCTCTCCACACCCGGCTCTCCTCTGGCAGCCAGCAGAGCCATCCCGGTCACCTCTCTGAGGAAAGGTGAGCAACACACTGTCCTCATCTAGCCTGGCTGCTCCATCCCCAGCTTCAGCTGAGAAGGGGCGGGGCTCCTGGCAGTGGCTGCTGCCTCTTCCACCCGCTCCCACTCACCTGTCCCAGGTTCAGTGTCTCGGGGTCTCCTTGCAGCCCTGGGTCATCTCCAATAATCACACTTGTAGCCTCACTCAAGAGCCATGGCTCTGTCTCCACCTGTGCCCCAGCCCACAACCATCCCAGCCTATCCAGTTGAGCTCACCCCTGGAAGCTGACCTCGAGAACATCTGGGTTCTGGCCTGAAACCCTACTGTTCTGCAATCTGGTAAAGCTGGTCAGAGACCCTTAGGGGAGGGAGAAGTGCCCCTCCCCCATGTAGCTCTGTGGGTCTGGCGGTCAGCAGCCTGGGGTGAAAGCAGCCAGCCTGTGGTGGGGGCAGACCTCTCCTCTGCCTATACCCCCACCTGGGCAGTAGAAGCAGCCCAGTACATCCCTGTCTTGCTACCAAAACACCAGTTAGGGCCAGGCACTTGTAAGGGTCACAGCCCCGCTGACAGCACCACTGCCCAGCCAGAGGCAGGGTCGGGAGCCCCAGCCTCCAGGACAGGGCATACCCTCAAACCTTGAGAGTAGCTGTTCCCCGCAGCTCAGCCCCCGCCCACCCCATCAGGTCCCCCTGAGGGTCTCCCTCAAGCCAGGACCATCCAGAGAAGCCAGGCACTAGGGCAGGGACAGAGCCCCTTAGCACCCCAGCAGCTTTGCCCACTCCCCAGCTCCCCACCCCAGGCCAACTGGCTGCCCCTCTACCCTCCGCTC